GGGGGGTAACAACAAATAGTCTAAACGTCACAAGCGTTACACCACAACAGCTCAAATGGATTTCTTCCAAAAGAAAATTTTACAAACACTTTTGAAATTAATTACACCAAACATCTTGTTTTCAAAAATCGTCAACATTGTTCCCCAGCGCCTGGTTTTGACTTTGAAGGCACCCACTCCTCAGTATAGATCGGGGAAGATGCCAGCATGCGAGGTTGATTCGTTATTGGAAGAGATGGCAGAAGTCACCGGGAGACAGAAAGACCAGAGGTTGGCACTTCGCTACCTTAGAGTTATTACAAAGTTGCAGAAGTCACCAGGAGACAGAAAGACCAGAGGTTGGCACTTCCCTACCTTAGAGTTATTACAAAGTTGTATCTGCTCAGGGCTTAGTTTTGACAAATTTGACGTTAAAGATTTTTGAGTGCACTCGCATAACGTCAAGCTTTTCGAATGCAATTCTTTGACTATCTCGAAAAACGACTCCGAATAATTTTACGATCTTGATATATAAGACAGTACGCTTGGCTTGGTTTCTTAATAATAATAACAACCAAAAAAACGGCCAAAAATGCCAGAAAGAATTATGTAATTCTAAGGTAGCCACTGGTTTGAACAGTCTGAAAAGTGTGAAAGAAAAGCTGTACACGTATTATCCAACTCAGCACTTATTCAGTGCAGCACTGCAAACCTGATGTGAAACCAATGGTAGTCCCCAATGAGTGTCAATCATCGAGTCGTTCCACCGCATTTTAAATGACGTTACGTTTACAGCGTTGCAAAGGGTGATAAAAGTAAACCATTTCGCACTTTTTTTTCCGCACCAGAGTGTTTCGACGAACAAAAAGGACCAACAAGATTTTTTTTTAAAATGCCCCTCGTAATTTCTAGAAGAATGCACGCACTTACATTCCAGTTATGTATAGCGCCAGTTAAGCCATCTGGTGTCATGAATTCAACAAGCAAACGGATATAGTAGTTGACGTACAGGACCATTAATTAGACATTAGCTGCCCCTCTCCCCATGATACATATAGTAGTGCTTTTTGAATAATTCATAACTGGTTCAATATGTTTGTTTTGCTCCGACAAAGATACCCATTTTCACCCTAGGTTCATAATAATAATTATGTAAAATCACTTCCACCGTGTTCAATAATATGTTTGAACAGAAAGGAACATCATTCTCAAGGGTTTCTTCAAGATTTTAACAACACAAGAGCTGTTCGTTTTGTTTGTTTGAGCAAAGAGAAGTGCAACGGCACAGTTAAGGGCATTTAGTACAGGGGAAAAGTAAGACAGACAGACAGACAGACAGACAGACAGACAGACAGACAGACAGACAGACAGAGGGAAAGTACGGAAGCAAGACCTCTCAGTGGCGCCCTGCCACCACCGGCACAGAGCTATTCAGAAGTACTAAGCTCAAAATTTTGAAATGTTATTCTATTTTTGTGTATTCATCTGTTGTTTCGGTCGGAGATACTCGTGAAATATTAGTTTAAGTAGAGGTTTTACGGCGCTCACAACTGCATAAGGTCATATGAAAGCTTGATTATTAGAGGTTTTACAAGACAGTAACGAACATAAAAATGAAGAAGGGGAGATAAGGACGATTGATGTTTCATAGGAAAGAAGAAGCAAACCACACCAGAGCACCCGCCAACCATCTACGAAATTCAAATTCTATCTTTTTAAAAGCGACAACAGGAACAACAAGGTGTATAAAGTAGGTACCATTGTCACAAGAATGAAACAGTTTTGTCTCTCTTCTGAAAAAAAAAGTGGTTTCTGGTCTTACGACATTGTAATAGCTGGCGACGATAGAATCCTTCGTCTCCTCGGCTAGCAGGCGATTGGCGGGTGCTCTGATGTTGTTTTACTCCTTCTTTCCCATTAAACATCGTTCTTATCCATGTTCTCTTTATCTTTTTTTGTTTGTTTTTTCTAGGTGTTCGTTAGTCTCTTGTAACACCTCTAACCTTCGGCACTTATATGACCTAATTGTGCCGTAAAACGCTTGCTCAAAACTAAAACAAAAACTTTTCAGCTCCAACTGTGTGACGTCATCTCTTGACTTTCGCCAAACACGCGCATATATAACTTGATGTTTTTCTCCAAAGCACCACGAACCTAATTGTCGCCAAACACGCGCATAAATAACCCGATGTTTTTCTTCAAAGCACCACGGACCTCATTGGTTATCTCTCGGAAAATTGATTTTAATATTTTAAAAATTCACCTTCCGTTCACGTTCATCTAGAACATTCTCAGCAATACTCAATACAACTTTTGCCCCTCTGTCCTGTCGGGCCAAATAACCAGATGTTCTGCTGCTTCGACAAAACAGTTTGAACTGCCAAAGATATCATATCAGGCCCTCTGTTTTGTTAATAACTATAAATATATAT